GGCATTCACAGAGACAAAATTGAATGTTTACAGGTGCTATGGTGCCAAAAAAGCTCTACATAGACACACTGAAAATGTCTCTGAAGGACTTAAAAATATATTTCAATATATGGGAGAGCTTACCTCCAGACAAATTCTAGTAATTCGTCGTGTAGTCCTAAAAGTAAAGGCTGTCTTTATTCTTACCCCGGGGGTGAATAGTATCAATTTTATTCTCACCCCGGGTGAGAATAAAAATTGTTAATTTCTCCCGGTCTGAGAATACATAATTCGATTTTATTCTCACCTGGGTGTTGAGAACAGGTAGGCCTAGCCTAAATAGATAGAAATTTGGGAAATGAGAGAGGGAAATGATTACACGATACCCTTAACCACAAGGCTGACGAATTTGGACGTTGTTGGCAGACCACGAGGCAATTGAAATTGGCCGCTCAATACCTCATTTAGTTGTCGAAGCCAGCAAAACCTAGCCAAGTTGTTTGGAATTGCAAAATAGCCAGGCTTTGCAGGCTTTGACAGCTATAGTGACAAAAGCATTGTAGATTTGTTTTTCTTTCATCTACAACCCAAATTACCGCAAAAAGAGTGATTCAAGAAGACGATTTTGCTGAAATCAGTGAGGAGGAAATTTCAGATGAAGATGTCTATGTGATTTATGTTGAATGTTTTTTGAACTGGTGAAAGCTGGGCACAAGGCCTTGAAGCTTTGTAGGAGATTGTATTGAAAGAAAAAAAGGTTTGGGATAGAACCAGACTAGATCTACTGCTTGGGGGTGAAATTTTTTTTTCCAAGAATGGTGTTTTTTTGTGAGAGTTAGTTCTAGATCTATTTAACAGATGATCAGTGTTGAATCCCAGCACCCCATGACTTCTGTGACACACTCTCAAAACATTAACAAAATAAAAGGGCGGAAACCAAAAACGTGGGTGAGAATAATATGTGAAGTATTTTCACCCTGAGAATACTCACACCGAAAAGTAAAATGAACAAAAATTGAGCAAGAATTTTAAGTTCGGAGTGTTGAGTAATATCTGAGCATGAGACATGAGTGAAAGTAAAATAATATACAAGAACGAAGTGGCTAGCCGTACTTAAGCAAAATAAAATATTTAAGTACACCTAGCCTGCCAGTTTAACCATACTTAGGTTAGGCCCTATTGACCAAAACCTCTTGAGTACGAATACCAGTCATTTCGTCACACGGGCATTTCATCACACCGGTGCAGTGAAGACGTCATAGTCATCTCGTCACACCAAAAGTCCACAAGGTTGAATGAAGACAGTCATTTCGTAGCACACTTGCGAACATCAAACGCGCATTGTCATGGCAATCACAAACCACGATTTTGGGGGGAGGGTTGGGGATGCGTGTGGAGGGGGGTGGGGAGGATTCATCGTGCTCACTTGATCAGCTACACTGTTCATTAATAATATGTAGGCCTATTGACAATATTGAAATCTATCGAGTCGGATCATCAAAGTTTTTAAGTAGGCCTATTATTGGAAAGGTGTGATTGGCAAGATCATAGTTTTGTTAACAATTAAAACTAAAATAGCTAATAGAAGAGTACAGTACTGCAATTTTGCTAAAAGCTAGACCCTTACTTTCAATTCAAATAAAGACAAAAGCTATTGTTCAGCTACAGAACAGTTTAGACACGAAGATTTAATTTACATTAATTAATTTGTATAACTTAAAAAAAAGCTTTAGGCTGACCCCCCAAATCTCTACTTGCATAACAATTTTGGAGAGATATATAAAGCGAAGTCATTTCGTGACACATAATTGGGGTGAGACGAGATGATCGGTTCCCTTGAGTACACAGGTCTCATTAGATCTAGTAATTATTCAGGTTTAAAATACATTACATGCATGTCAGTAAGTAGTAGTCTAGCCATACTCAAATACGCACGGCTAGCCTACCAGTCTAGCCATACTTAGGTAAGAATCTACACTGACCAAAACCTGTTGAGTACACAGGCTTCATTTAGTAATAATTTTTCAGGTCATGCATTGTCAGTAAGGCACCTTTTGGTTTCGTCTCAAATATAAATATAAATGGGAGCGTCTACGTACACGGTAACCGGCACGTAGTCTCAGTATCTACGTACACGGTAACCAGGAGCCCCTTGTTGAACTAGGTGCACGGTAACTGCTTTGCCCCCTCCCTCCACTCATCACTGGACTGGCCAATCACAACATCCCACCACTGACTGCCTGTTTGGAGCCCACCTACAGCCCCGATCAACCAACCCCCTTCCCCCAGATACAGCTCGCTCGATCTCTCATGCTGCATCCAAGTTCGACACTTTCTTGCCCCTTTAATTTGCTAAACCCAAGCATAAGTAATTAAGTTTACATATATATAGGAAAAAAAGGGGATTCCGGTAAAGTCCCGCTGTAGGGGTCAGATAGAGTAGTCGTGCATCTAGATCTACACAAGGTGTCTATGACTACTATGAACTTGGATAGAGAAAAAAAGGCAACTGAAATGGCAATTGTCAAACAACTTGGCCTCACATAATCCACACATTGGAGAATGTCGGAGTTCGCACAGTGTACACACAACGCGATACTTCTGTGAAGAACGAGGGTGGACCTTCCGGTTACCGTGTACACAAGGATCACAGTGAAATTTTTCGCCAACCCCTGAACTTTGACGGTCAATCCGATAGACTTCCGTAATTATTTTGCCCCCCCCCCCCCCTTTCCACACATCAGTTTAAAAAATTCAAAATATCTTTCGTATGACATTGTAAACAAAGAACTGTCTTCAAAATGCGTTCCTCACTTGCAAAACGAAGACAGAAGATTGGAAGCAAGGGGGAAAGGTCAGTTCCGGTTCACCTCCAATCAAAGAAGAGCTGAGAGCATGTTTTCTAAACTGTTTAAGTGCCTTTCTTTTTCACTGAGTCGTCTCACTCGCATCCGGTCAACCATAGGTTGAGCTTCGTCGAATCCCCAGATCGCGGGGCGCTTTAGGGCAGATCTCAGGCTACTCAAGGCCTACCGCAGTCTGACTTAAGGTCGGGGCGAAATGACCGTCAGTGCAGCGGATTTTGGAAAGTTCTCGCAACCGCGGAAAATCACAGATCCGCGGTAAACTGTGATCCCTGTGTACGTAGACTCTGAGGTTATGTGCCCGGTCACCGTGTACATAGACACTCCGAAAACAAATGTACCTACTTTAGGTAATGCAAACTAAAATATAAATTTGCAATTCAGCAGGCCTATTTTTTGCTGTTTGTCAGTCTAGCCATCATTATTAAGTACAACTAGCCTGCCAGTCTAGCCATACTTAAGTACAGCTAGCCTAACACTAGCAGTCTAGATTCTAGCCCCATCATTAAGTCATTAAGTAGGCCTACAGTAAGCCTCTTCCTAAGAATGTTTACATTTTGGTATTTTTGTAAGAGATGTCATTTTTTTGGTATGTAGTGAATGTGTGTGTGTCTGCGCGTGTGTGCAGTGGCGGGGCGTAGTGAAGGGCTAAACGGCTTGAGCCCCACCCACTCCCACCCCCAACTCTTTCCCTCCGTAATGAATGTTTCTTTTCTAATGAATGAGATAATCAGTTGAAACCATTAGAACTGTTTCAGAATCTTCCGCCTACTCCTTTAGTTGCATGCAATGAACACACACGCTTGTTCGTTTATCAATTATTAAGCGAAGAGAAGAAAAGTCTGAACTGAATTGAGAAGAGAGCCTACAGTAGGCCTACACGTTAGAAACGAATCTAGATACCTCCACCATGTCTCCCCCTCTTTTCACTGGTCTGGTAAACTTCACCCGCGCCTCTATCGTCTCTCATTAGCCTCATGGTACCTCTTAGGCCTAGCCTAGGCTGGGTGGGTCCATTAAAGTAACGTTCTTGGGCAGAGCAAACTATGAAATGTTCCTGGTCCACTTTTCTGTTTATTATAATTGATTTGCATGTGGCAGCCCCCTCCCCCCCCACCCCGACTGTCGAATACTACATCTATAAAAGTATCCAAATAACTTAAGTGCTGAAGGTGCGGTCCACCAAAATTTAGTGTACTACGACTAATTCAGAAAACCAGGAACCTGCTACTGCTGGTCCATCCTTCACTTCTGGTCTCCCTCCGCTGCCTCCCCCTCAATAGAAAAGGAGCAAAAATAAGCCTACGACATGTAATCAAGATTTATCAGGAACCTGCTGGTCAATCCTCCACTTCTGGTCTACCTCCACTGCCTCCCCCTAAAAAGAAACAGCGGCTGGGATCAAGTAATACTAACATTATAATAGTGAAAACATTGCGCCTGTTCCTGCGGTAAAAACGTCCTCATCCAATGCCTAGATGTGCGTTACAACTTTGTCTCGTCCCCCCTTCTCTCTCTCTCTCTCTCGTGGTATTCTCGCAGCCCTCATTCACTCTGCCTCGCGTTGCCGGGAACTAGTTCGCGTAGCGGTAGATTAGAACCCATGACTGTATTGTATTTAAAAATCCGTTGTTTGCCTAGTGCGCATTAATGTGTGTATAATCCAGCCCACCCTGTGCGAATATAACTTCATAGTATTCACACACCCTGTGCGAATATAATTTCATAGTATTCGCACACTCTGTGCGAATAAAATTTCATAGTATGCACTGTATTCACACACGCTGTGCGAATAACTACTACAGCCAAGTTAGAATATTATAATCCACTTCCTATCTGGAAAGTCCTCTGAACCAAAGAAGTCTTACGTTAGAACTTTAGAACTCTACCTACCCTGATTTCTCAGCCCCACTCACATTTAGAACCACCCGCCACCACTCTTTGTGTGTGTGTGTGTGTGTGTGTGTGTGTGTGTGTGTGTGTGTGTGTGTGTGTGTGTGTGTGTGTGTGTATGTCTTATGTGTGTGGGTTTTGGGGCAAGTAGGCCTAGGGTAGGCTAGTTTGGGGGACAAAACCAATAATGCTCAACTAGAATCTAGTGATTGGGATTTGGGAGGTGGGATTTTTGTGCGTGTTCGTGTGTGTACATTGAGTTACCCTCAAAAGTCCCGAAATCTTGACTGTGAGAAAACCGCAGTGAACTTCCACCATGCTTGGATTCTTGACGTCCACAATCGGACAGGGAAGTTAATCAAGAAAGAATAGGCCTAGACCTAGAGCTACGTCGTCCACTTCAGCCACTTGATCTCTTCACTCACAAGGACACTACTTTTGTCATTTGCATCTCGCCAGAATCTTCAAAAACAACACACCAGTCCCATTAGCACGAACATCTTTCAGGGCAAGGGGCCTGAGCAAACATCTCACTACTTTCAAGATTCACTTTAACGTTGGTCCGTCTTAGAACTTCTAGATCTATATTTAGGACCATTATGACCTACTTGATTTGCTGGATTCCTGGCCCAGAAAAATGTAAACAAACGAAAACAGTAATTGTTTCAAAAGAAACGATAAAAATATACGTATATGAAGTAACCAGAGTAATATCGTATGTCTATTGTTAATAAAAATTACTAAACGTATTTTTGAAAATCACATTTGATTTTATTTCTTTTTAAAATCAATTCATAAAGAAAAACATAGCTATTTGTTAAAATTAGTTTCTTACCTTCGATAAGTCTTTTGCTATACTGCCAAGGTAACGTTTACATCTTACAGCAATGGCGTCCTGGTATGGGTCACAATGGCTTGGGAAAAGTGATCTAGAGCCACAGAAGGACAATGCTTTTTATGGCTCTATGTTATCGAGAAAATAACTAAAGAAACGCACAGCCCTTTCAACTGTCAAAAAATTTGATAATGGGTTCAGGAGCTAGCAACCAAGTGCGCTCGGACGGCGTAGATGATGTATCGTCGATAAGAAATGACTTGGACTTGGACTGCAAAAATTCCGGAAAAATTCGACCATCTTCAAGCACCAGTCTAGTCTCTCAAAAAGGTTTTAAAAAAGGACGTGTTGACAGCTCTCGGGTTGATAAAGGCAGCCTGAACAAGAGGTAAAGCTCCATTTTTTAAATCTGAAGTAGACTCTGCTTCTTCTAGAACTAATTAAGACGCTTTACTTTAGTGCTTTAACTTTAGTTTTAGCTTTAGCTCAGAATGATCCCTCTCACTCTCACCTCATTTCAATCATACTTTAACAGGCCCACTTTATAGTCTGTAAATTGAGGTTAAGTCAGATAAAAGCTAAAGATGGATATAAAGAAATGGATTGTGGAACGGTGTAAGGCTATTGACTAAAGCAAAGCATGAAATTATATGGAAACAGATAATCTAGTCTAGATTCTAGATCTATATATTTGCATACAATGCACTAAAAAAAGCCGAACCAAAATCGGTCAACAAGCACACAAAACAGTCATTAAAAGACAAACGGGCATATCCTCACTAACAATTATTCTCTTGTTATCAACGTTTAACTCACTTACTACTGGGCCCTTTCACCAGTCACAAGCGTTGAAGACTGGCGTTTTTGGGAATATTTCAATAAACCAGCACAAGTCTCTTTTGACACAATAAAGTAACATTCAAACTTAATCTATTACAAAAAACTAAAGTTGTCAAAGTAAAATACTTTAATTTGTATGATTTTTAAAAAATTGGCATGAATTTGATTTTCCGAAAAATTTCCAGAGACGTGACAGGTAGAATGAAATTCACAACAACAACAAAAATAAAAGTTCAAAGTATTGTTTCGATTTGTATGCATGTGTGAGTGTTTGGTGAAAATATAAAAGCTGGTCTGTCCGTTGATTCAGACCCATACACTGAATTATATGAGACAGATATACTGCACGACGTTGTGATTTCGTTGGGCGAACAACACCAGTACCAGATATTGCCTTTTTACAAAAGTTTCGTAGTAAAATTTTTAAGCTGACCTGTGTAGAATAGTTTGAATATTTATGTTTGGTGGATGGAAATCATATTCCTTTTGAAATCGTAATTTTAACTAAGCACTTCTGAAAAAAAGCACACTGCCTATGACTCTTCAAAATAGAAAATCATGGTTTTGGGTAGAGACAACTATTGTAGGTTAATGAAATTCAAAATTATGCTCATATATATTTCAGGACCACAAAGCCAGGTGAAGATAGCCAGTCAAGCGTCAAGACAAAGTCATCTCCGAAGACTCTGACACCTGTGCATTCAGTGAGCATGACTGGGACTTCAAACACTTCCCCTGTGACTCCTTTGAATTCCACAAATTCTGTGGTGCACCCATCAGTGAGTCCTTCTTTCCACACAAAGTCTGTTGCTTTAAAACAGAGTCTTATTATTCTTGATATTTCTATTTTGAGGGAATGGTAGACAAGTTTTGAGGAACCATCGTTTACAAAGCAATTCATGATAGAACTGATACATCTATTGATGTATACCCTCAAACCTACGGGGAATTAAGTAATTTTCTTTCGACAAAGAGCTCTTTGTAGGATGTGTATTAAGATGCAGTGGAGTCCGGTGCTTGTCAGTTTTTGAGCTGTCTGGAGTTAACGGTATCATCTTAAAGTTTGTTCATTTGTCATGCATTTGAAGAAAAAGTTCCCATCTATCATAACTTGAAGTCTAGATATTTCCCATCGCAGAAGGTGGGGATACCTAGTTTCAGAAGTATAATTATGGGAGTGCTTATTTAGGCCACATATGGCCTAAATAAGGTAAGGGAGGGGGGTTTAGCTTATTTAGGCCACACATGCTCAAACTACCCTTTTCAGGCAACTGAGTTCGTTCCACTTTCATAATGGTGCACCTTTCTCATTTAGTACGGTTTTGTCTCAGTGTACAACTTATAAATCATAACCATAATGAATATTGTAAAGAACAAAGCTTACTTACTTTTACTTTTTTCTTCCGCTTGTACCCTGGGGTGTCGCGGGGAGACACAGGTGTCTGTCTGCAGCAAGTCGTGTGGCCTGTAGGAGGGACATCCCATGATCTTTAAGGGTGTCTGCCACAGATTCACTCCATCATCGCCTTGGTCTTCCTCTGGCTCTCCATCCAGAATATTTAATGTTGTATGCTCTCAGAGCTGGATGGTTTGAGGGCATCCGCGTGAGGTGTCCGAACCACTTGACCCTTTGTTTTTCAATGTGTGGTAGGACTGGTGTTGCTCCCACGGTGTCCCTAATGACTTCATTTTTAATTTTGTCTCTTCTTGTTTTGTTGACCGCTCTTCTTAAGCATTTAATCTCGCATGTGACCAGTTTCCTCTCTAGGGCTTTTGTTAGAGTCCATGTCTGGCACTGATATGTGAGCGTTGGAAGGAAAATGGCGTAAAGAACAAAGCACAATACGCAAAATTTTGCTCAATCCCAATGGTTTGAATGAAAGCCAGATTTTTCCTTCATGGAGGGGCAAAAGCTAGGCTACCATTTTGGCACACTTTGGTCAAGTGAAAAGGTCAAATCCTCCGAATGGACTTCCGGGTTAAATTTGGGGTATAAAAAGTGTGTACACTACGTGGCTGAGTCAAAGTTACACTATCTTTGTCTGAGTGACACTCTCTCTTACTGTCTCGTAGTAGTACATGTAGGCTAGTAGGCCTAGTAGTAGTAGTAGCAAAGATCGAGTAGAGAATATTTGGTAGTAGATTCTATCTAGTAGGCAGTTTAGTGAACGTGCTCGCAGAAGGGCGAATCGGCCTCAATAAGCCCCGTAGACTTTTGTGATCGGCCACGAAGCCTCGTGTTTTGATGGGTCTAGATCTAGATCTAAACAACTCAGTGTTATTCGCACTGCCACATCCGACAGGCCTAGATCTACATCTTTTTAAAAGGAAAAGACAGGTCCTCAAAATGGTTGAATTCATGTGAAAATCGATTCGGTAGAACTAGAACTATTAAAATTTGCTTCTGAAAACAAGGCAATTTTTATACGAAGGCCGTTTTTATAACTCGATGAAAAAAAACAACTACTGGCTGTGTACTGTGTTATTCTGTATAAAAATAAATTATGAAACTTCAGGACGTATTATTATTTTCCAGCATCTTTTGACGCCTGAGCTGTAGAGGTTGAAGTTTTCACAACACTAATAGATCTAGTAATAGGCCAGGTAATAGGGCTTTCCGTAAAAAATGCATAGATCAAAAGCCGAACCACCGAATCGACCGAGCACCTCGTTCTCCCCTGCACACTGTGATAACGTGTTGCTTCGGTATCGCATTATTCAACTATTAATACGTGCGGCTATGGCAATTGGGATGTACTGACTGACAAAAAATTCAGTTGTGTTTTTATTTTACCATATATTTGACTTTAATAGTGCAGGCGATAGCAAGATCTAGATTCCCTGTCTAGAATCAGTAGTAGCAGGCCTATGCTAGAAGCAGCCAGAGAGCCTACAACTGCTAGATCTAGATCTAGATCTAACTTATTATTGCTATGCCTTTGGGCTTTGGAATTGAAATAAAACGAACTGCACAGTTCTAGTTACTTTTAGATTCAGCAAGTAACTGTATTTCCAGAGTTAATAATAACAAATCTCTTTTTTTCTAAAATCTGTTTTGCGCAAACTTAAGATTTTCTCTACTTGTAGAGCACAGAATTTACATTGTAAGCCTCTGCTCAGTCTTTTAGTATACATAATAAAATACACACACACACACACACACACACACACACATATCATATATATATATATATATATATATATATATATATATATATATATATATAGAGAGAGAGAGAGAGAGAGAGAGAGAGAGAGAGAGAGAGAGAGAGAGAGAGAGAGAGAGAGAGAGAGAGAAAGAGAAAGAGAGAGAGAGAGAGACAGAGATCTATATAATCATTTTATGTTGTTTTCTGGATATTTTTAAAACTCTATTTTTCAACATGTCATAAAATCAAATTGTGCCATTTTCTTCGAAAAGAATAGCATTAGCAGTGGACTTTTTAGACAGCGAGTCTCTGATTCAATATTTTTTTTAAAAAATGCTAATCAATGAAAATTGCAAATTGATAATACTTTAGTCCTGAAGAGGATAGGTGGACTCCGGGGTCTGCAAAGCGAAATACTAGGTTTTAGGATGTGAACCCTGGAGTCACCGTAGTGAAATAAGGTTTGGTTTAAGTAAGGATTGGTGGACCCCCGGGACACCTAGATTAAACCTACTTATTTTACTACGGTGACCGCAGGTTCCACCTATTCTAAAAACCTAACTAGCATTTCGTTAGGTAGACCCTGGGGTCCACCTTAAACCTACCTATTTCACTACATTGACTCCAGGGTCCACCAATCCTTAAAATTAAACCTAGATCTACATGTACTTATTTCACTACATTGACCCCAGGGTCCACCAATCCTAAATTAAATCTAGATCTACTGATTTCACTACATTGACCCCGGGGTCCACCAATCCTTAATTAAACCTATATCTACTTATAATTTCACTACGTTGACCACGGGCTCGGCCAGTCCTACTATAAAATAAACTGAGATCTACTTATTTCACTATGTTGACCCCGAGGTCCACAGGTGTGGCCTAAATAAGGTAAGGGAGGGGGGGTTTAGCTTATTTAGGCCACAGGTGTGGCCTAAATAAGGTAAAGGAGGGGGGTTTAGCTTATTTAGGCCATATGTGGCCTAAATAAGGTCACCCTATAATTATTGAGAAAATGGCTGCCTAAGTTTGGTAACTTCCTTAGCTTTGAGAGTCCTTGGGAAATTAAAATTTACATTTCTTGTTACTTCAATCTACATTATTTAGTAAAATTCACTCAGGGATGTGTTTTTAAATAGACAAAAAAGGTATTGAGCCAAAGAAACAAAAATTCTATAAAAATCGCCAAACTGGAGGAAAAATGCTGTTTTCTTTAATTTCATTATTTTGACAAGTGCCTGATTTTACCGTGATGCCACACATATGAAGACAATGCTAGAACAATGTTACCCAAATGAGAATACATGTTTGTTTTTACAGCATTTTCATATCTGTTGTGTGCTACTTTTTACTACAGTCTTCACAAAAAGTTAAGGACCACTTGCAAAAGTGCTCGCAAAAGACAAACCAGCAAGTCAAGTTATTCCTTCATTGACATACATTTAATTCATCAATCCATAAATGCAAAAAAGAAATTTCATCACTGTTGAAACCGAAATGCTTAATTCCCACCCTCAAAATCGAAAATCACAAAAGAAATGGTCTCAAAAAGTCTCAGCATATCAAAGACAATGACCAGTTTAAGTTCGTGAATGCCAATGGAATTGTCAGAAGTGCGTGTGCCCACCATTCACGGCAAGGCAGTCAAACGGGACCACTTCTTGAACTGCATTGGCAGCAAGTTTCTCCCATGGATGCCTCGAGATGCGGGTTTGGCCATCACTGGGTGTCAGATAGAACCGAGATTCATCAGTGGACAGGACCTCTGTCCACTGGGGACATGTCCGCCTCTGGTGTGCAGTGCACCAGATTTGAAACTTTGCCACGCTTGTTCTTGGTCAGCTTAGTTTTTTTGACTGGACGACGCGCACGAAGGTTGACGTCATAAAGGCGATTACATATTGTCTGCGAACAGACTGTGGTGTAGGTAGCAGCTCGTAGACGTCGCCTGATGACGCTGGCAGAGCTAGTTTGCTGCTGTATTGCTTGGCGTTGGATGTAGTGGTCCTCTCTTGCTGTTGTATTCTTGGGACCATCCGTATGATGCCGCTCCAGGACTCCCTCAGCCGTATGATGGTGGAGTGTGATACCTGAAGTCTGCGTGACACTTTGCGTATGTCAACTCCATCCTGGAGCCAGGCAATTGCTCGGGTCCTGTCGAAGTCGTTCAATTTTTGTCGTGGTGGCATGGGGCTTGGCGCGGTAATACTGTAAAACAGAGCTGAAACGGTGGCTTATGTAGGCAGACAAGTGAGCTCAGCTCGTAGCCAGAAGTGCATTCTTCTACGTGCATCTCGTTTTTGCAATGCAGAAAGCCCCTGGTATACCTCACTGACGTTTGAAACTCGGTCCAGTTTTGCTGAAATTGCAGATTTTCACTCGCGCCAAGCATGCCACATACGTGCCAGCCACACAGTGGTTACCCTATTCACTGCTGACCCCTTAACCTTGCTCCTAAATTTTTACAAGATAAATCTGATTATTTTTTAATGATTTTTTAAAAATACTACCTATTATCCTGACTGGTCCTAAACTTTTTGTGAAGATTGTATATATATATATGGCGAACTAGCCTGTCTTAATGTTCTTTTTCAGGTTGAGAAGAAGGGAAGTGCATTATCAGAAGGTCAGCTGACAGAAAAGATTAAACACCTTGAACTTGAGGTATTAATATAGAACAATTTTTCTTGCATTGTATGAAAAGAAAAGAGCAAAAGAACTATAGGCCCTTTTGAGATTAAAGATATCAATAAAAAAAGGAAATTTTTTGTTAAAGATGACATTTCATTTAAAGCCAATTGTACTTGTAACCTAAAGGATAAATATCTGCGACAGCAATGTAACATGGCCAAGTAATGTCTCTCTTTGTCCCCCCCCCCCCTCCCCATATACCCCTCTCTCATTCACGTTTTCATCATACACATGGACTTGCACTCACACTCTTACAAACTCAGGTTCACACCTGTTCACTTTTTACAAACTCAGGTTCACACCTGTTCACTTTATTTAGGATTGTAAGGTGTTGCAGCATTGTTTACCATTGATACAGTTTCTGTTCATTACATGGACTGTCTCTTGTTTGCTATGTAGCTTGACTTTTATGTTTTTTTGCACACTGCAATATAATATAGTCACAGTGTTGTAATACTGTTTTACAGCCTGGTTTAAACTCAGAAGACTTTAAACTTCATTGAGAAATGTGTTGCTCAGAAAAAATTCTAAGTCATTCTGAGACACCACCAGAGGTGTCTTGTGAATGGTACTATAAAAGAGCAAAGGCAAGCAATAGTTTTCTTGCGAGTAATATTTTAAGGTATCAAATAGCAATTATGTTTTAAAATTATTGCTCAAAGAGTATTTCATTTGTGTGATATGTTCACATTTTTTAAAATTTCTCTTCTGAGAGTACGATCTAACTCATTTTGTTCTGAAAATGTTGCCTCGTAAAATACTGACAGTTGTCTCTCTTTTGTCTTCCTGTCTTCTAGCTGGCTAAGTCAGAGAGCCAAAGATTGGACATTCAAGATCAAGTGCAAATTTTGGAAGAGAAATTAAAAAGTGCAGGGTCGCAATCCAGGCTTACTGATGAAGCAACAGATCTCAGTGAAACTATCCATGCTAAGGACCAATATATTGTCAAGTTGGAAAAAGACCTAAAGACTTTGCAAACTGAATCTACTACTATGGTAAGTGAAAAAAACCCCCAATTTTTCCATAGTTGAGAGAACTTTTTGCATATAAAGGAAAATAATATGTACTATTGCTTTATGAGAATAGAGACAGGTACTTTTATTCATACTAAAACAGGGCTGACTCAGCAACTCTAAAATTGTTTGTGTAGCATTCAAATGAGACAAGACAATTCCTAAAACACTGTGTTCTTCCTCATGAACATTTCTTGTGTGATATGGTATGGGCATGGATTTATCATCCTTTCAAAACTGCATTGTTATTTAAGAGACTTAACTCAAAAGTTATCGTCTGTCTCCAAAAAGGAAAAAAAAAAGCAAGGTAACTGAAGAGCTATGAAAACTCCCTGAACAACCCAAATTCAAGAATGTCCATTTGGTTTTCAAAGCAGTGTCATCCGTCAGATAGTCCAACATGATACCAATGGGTAGTCAACATCGTTTGTCTACCAAAGACTTTGGAAACCTTTCACTTTGCATGATAATCATATTTTGTGATTATGATTGTTCAACAGAGACTGAAGCTGAAAAGACGAATTAAAGCCCTGACAAATCAGCTTCATGAAGTAAGGCAAGAAGCGTCTATCAACCAGATGGAGCTTAAGTCAGAGATAGCGCAGTGCAAAGAAAAATTGAAAAGTACTGGAGGTAAATATTGTAGGGGATTGGCCATGTAATTCATATTCATTGTAATGAATCATATTCAGTAGATGTGCATGCTTTTAAGGAAAAGAATTGTAATAATAATAATAGATAGCCTTTGTATAGCGCAAATCCCCTTCCAACGGCAAGCTCTATGCACTTCACAATCTATACTTTTACCCCAGCAGACCTGAGAGCATTCTGAAACAACCTCAACTTCCTGGGAAGCATACAGTGCAAGCAACCATTTATAGGCGCTAAAACACTAACATACTGTCTAGTATTGTCTAGTATTTTGGCAGCTTGATTTAAAAGCAAATTGTCACAACTGCTGCGTCCAATAAAAGAACTATACTAGGAAAAAGAGCAGGGTTATTCATACGTATCCTAAGTTTATATTGAATTAGAAAATAAACTTCAGTTGCAAGAAAAAATCGTTATAATTTTAAAATGTGAGGCTTGCTGACAAAATGAGTTATTTGACGCAATCCACAAATAGAGGTATTGGCCAAGAATGGACACTGGGTGAAAATGTGTAGGTTTTCTATTGACGCCATATTCTTTAAGTATAATGTGCCTTTGATTATTCCATACTTATAAATTGTAAAAACTTCACCTATATAGCATGATATATCTATTTCCATAGGGTTCTAATCCAAGAAGTAACTCATTTTGTCCGCAAGCTTCACAAATAATATTTAACAACAATAAAAGGCAACATATCTCTTATTAGGAAAAGTCACAGTGTAGTATTTAACATTGAACCTGTGATCAACGTTCAGTGGTGAACTTTGTTCTGTAGTCTGTAGTGACATGTGTTTACAACCTGAATTGTTTGGCAGTGCTGAGGCATGTGCACAAGTCTAAGGAATCCATAACTGACCCACTGCATTTGGTTTTGATTTGATATATTGAAAACAGTGGCTCAAAGGATTACATTCTTTTATTCCTTGTCAGGTCAAACGAGTGGTACGAGTACAGAGGAGTCTTTCAAACAGGATGGTTCTCACAGCCCTAGTCACTCCAAAGTCATAGTCGAACTGTCAAACCAACTATCGGAGCAGAGCGAGAGGATAAGTACCCTGGAGACACAGGTAAAAGAGAAAGATGCTTTCATTCAGAAACTGCAGGCAGCCAATGGAAAGCCCTCACGCACATCCCAAGTTGCTTTTTCTAAAACAATAGCAGTGAGCAATTCTAATGTGAAGTCATCTCCGAACTCTGAAGATGTCTCCTTTGACAGGCTTCACTCAAGTCGAGGACTGAGAAATGGTCAGACTTCCACTGCAGCCACAAGAGAATCTCCACTGCTCGTGGATGACGACGATTTTAATCCAGAACCTTCCTCTCGACCACAAAACAGCCGCATGTCTACTGCCCTATCTGATTCTGACTCAGACTGGGGAGCAGATGATGTCCCAGCTCTCACACGGAGTGCCCCAGCCAGGGTGCGGGTGAAAAGTGCCCACATGTCACAAGCGAAGCAATCTGTGACAAAAGAGACAAACGCCCTACAGGGTGACGATGACAGCATTATGCAGTACCTCCACAACTCTGACATTCCAGCCAGGGACAGCAGCACTAGTGAGTCGAGAACCCGGCCGCACAAGAAGTCAGCTCTGAGAAATCATCTAGAAAAGAGAAAAAATGAAAACCAAATGAGTTCATTGATGGGACCTTCCATTGCCTTTGCAAATCCTGGCCATGAGCTTCCATCTGACACTAGTTGTGAACCTACCCCAAGGTACAAGGACCCATCACGTTTACCAGGCTTCTCTAAGCTCACTGTCGTCCAAGCCTCAAACAACTGAACACCAGTTTAGAAAAGAACTTAGAGTGATATTTTTCTGTGTGCCTTCAAGAATGTTTCTTAGTAGATAAAACTGCTTCACCTGCCACAGGATGTCACAAAGTGCTTTCAATGAGAGTGAATTTCAAACATGGAGAAGAGAGATGCAATCTGCAGATGAATTGTTTGGTCCTTGAATAAGATTGCTGTCTTTGGAAGAAAAACTGAGTTTTGAATGGATACTTTTTCCTTATACTTACTTATCGTCTGTGGATAGGGACAAGTATCTTGCCTTCTCAAACTCGTTGCAATGCTTTTTGCCAGGTTACACTTTATGAGTAAAGAATAGGCATGTGCACCTCTAAACCTCTCAACATGAAAGCCTTAATTCATCATATAGCTGCCATACAGGATGTACACAGACTACGAGCTATTACAATTTAAAGTCATGCTGTAATTTTTGTAGGACTTAAAATTTTTTTTAATATTACTCGTGTGATTTCTGTGTAGAATGTCATCATGGTATGCTCTAGCCTCAAGCTGTACTTTTGAACTTTGACAAAATCACAGTGAATGAGTTCATAATATGGATGTTGTTTTGAATTACACTGTTCAATAAAATTTAGGCAAATATACAGCACTTTATCATCTGCATCAAAGACAGGTCCTAAAGAAGAATAACCCATGTCTTGTGGCAGGTTGAAGAGAGGTGCATGAGGTTGATTACTGAACATTGACCGAAAACCCAGAAACTCAAAATTTCAGCACTTGTGTTTAATTTGTTTAGTAAGATCACTCTACAGAGAAGTTGGATAATCATCTGCATCGATTGTTTTCAGTTTCAGTTGAAAGAAATGTTTATTATCTGCTGAAAGACTGGATATTCTTTCAATAATTCTGCAATTTCCTCAACAATCAAAAGTGACAGAATCCTCAAAGTAATAAGCAATGTCAGATGTTTTGAGAAAAGCCTAAACTTTTCTTGTTTGAGGTTGTTTCTTCTAGACATAAAAAAAGAGATTACAATCAACAATGTTTAGACTGTCTGATGTGTAGATTTGAAATGGAGAATGTTTTTGAAAGTGTGTTGCCTTAACATGGCTGAGTTTACCTTGAAATTAGCCATCAAGAAAAAGGCCTTGCAGCATTTACATGAATCTTAAAAAAGGTCTGTTTGTCTCATTTAATCATTTAAAGGGATAAAAAGAATAGTGACAAGGCTATTTTTTGTCATTATGCAACTTTATTGTGTGAAGTTGTTTCGCGTGTGTCAAGCTTTCAAGTCATGTTATATTCCAACAGTATTGCTTTGTGCTGTTGACTTTTGGTCACTCACAAAGAAAGAGGCCTTGCCTCAAGATTATTGTCTTTAAATGAATTTTTAAAATTTTGCTACTGTGTGATAGACTGACTGGAAGATGAGTGCATTGGTGAATATCTGACTGCATTGAGTGTTATGATCTGTGAACATGAGCACCGATGTACTCTTTTGTTGGGTGATTATTATTTATATATGGAAAACACTTGTTGGTCTCAAGCAAAGCTGGAATATCCTCACTGTGTGCATGTTGGGAAACTCGGAGGAGTGAGAAGTGTAAAAAAAAAAATCAAATGCTGGGTGCTGTTAATTCTTTGAGGGGTCTACTCAAGGGGAAGAAAAAAATAAGAGTCTGCTCAACCATTTCTGTTTGAGAAATTGTTGCATGGTAAGTGATCCTCACCGACCTGGTCATTATAACTCTTAGGTCTACATGTGATTCTGTTATGTCAGCGATGTTGTCTGTTTTTACGCATGTGTGTGGCGGCCTGGGGACAATCAGTGGAAAGATGCACTAATCAAAATCAAACTTGGGATAAAAACAGAAGAGTAGGGTCACAGGTAAAAAGAAAAAAGTTTTCCTCAGCTTTGACTACTTCGAGTAAACAGAAGCACATCGACACAATAATGGTCATATAGTGCTGGGAAGAAGAAAGACAGAAACAACAGAGGGAAAGAAAAGATGTTGGACCTACCAGTACCAGTGGTGCCCTCCAACCATCCACAGATTTCCTCAAAATAATGTTGTCAAATGTTGCGTTGGATAACCGTCAACCTTACTGCCTCCCCCCCCCCGTTTTGCAATATTAGTACTTTCCTGAAAACAATAACAGTGGACTAAAATTGAACCAGTCTGGCTAAATCAAAATATGTGAAGCATCATGGTGAAATCAGGCGCTCTTTAAAAAATTAAATCAAGGAAATTGGCATTTTTTTCAGCTCGTTTTGTAAATTTTATCGAATTTTGACTCAACACTTAGTTCCATCTAAAAGCGCATTTGCGGGTGGCTATTACTAAAAAAAAGTTTATTGAAGGCACAGAAAAAATAAGTTTGCAGTTTCAAAGGACTCTTGAGCAATTAAAGTCACCAAACTTCGATGGCCATTTTCTCACTAATTTTACCTCTGAAACCAGGCGAACCCACCTCTTTTGATCGCAAATATCTTGACTTCTATTTAAAATAGATGGGTATTTTTTTTCTTCAAAAGCAAGGCAAATGAATAAGCTTTAAGATGATACCAATAACTCTATATACCCAAAAATTGACGAGCGCCTGATTTCACTGCTTCATAATACTAATACACATATATATAATATGCAGTAGAAAAGTTGATTAAAGAGATTGGAAAGGAAAAAAGAGTAGTCGGGACAACTGTCGTAACCATATTCATCATTTTTTAAATAACGATGGGTTCAAGAAAGTTAAGAATCATTCTCTTCAGTTTTGCCTGACAAAAGTCTGTTATAAAGACATCTGGGTTTTTTTCTTCTTTATCTTTGTAAATAAAATACTGCTATAGCGCGATCAGATAAACGCGCGAGTCGGTTATAGCAGAGTATTGCTACTGCTGTGCACAGCGCATAGGTCATTCATACCTGATGAAAACCTCGCCAGTTGAGAAACTTGTTGGTGATCAAGCGAAACAAAGAATGGGAGAGCCCATGTATGCCAATGATGAAGGCCGGAGCGAATGAGTGGGGAGGGAGTGGCATGCGCACACAAGCAGTTGTGAATCAGAATGCATTGCCTGATAGTGATAGGCCCACCTAGTCTAGATTATCTAGGCCTATCCGGCCTCTCACTTCTCTGATGCGGGGATGGAGAGGCCATAGTGCTGTGATGGATCATGGAGCGAATGTGTGACGTGTGCAAGCAGACGCGGGAACCCACCACAGGGTGTGGTGGGGTGAGGGAAAACACAGCGGGCGAGTTAGCCTAGAGAACTTATCTGATAGCCAACCCCCAGCTGTCAACATCGCTAACGCTAGAGAAAGAAACCTGATTCAATTTTTGATCAAGTAAGACCTAGAGGTCATGTTGAACAAAGCCATCATCAGAGGAGATAACAAAAAGAAATAAACAGAACACCAAACCCATAGGTTAGGCCTACTTTATTATTTTTCCTTTGAATTTATTACTGGATCCCTTACAACGAGAATCCTGCTATAACGGACATTTCGTACCGGTCCCCTCCCTCTCATAAAAACAGGATTCCACTGTATAAAAGACAATTTGAAAATTAAAAACTCTGGTAAACTGCAAAAGATAAAAGATAAAATTGCCCTAATCCCAGAAAGTGAGTTTTACTTTATTCCTTGCTTTTTCCCCCTTGGCTGGCACACACAAGTTATCTCTCAGATGGTGTAGTCAATAAGTGTTCCATTTATTTTGATTTTTTCAACTCCATTATCAGCTGCTTTTGGAGGGGGGGAAAAATCTACCAAAGACAGTGATATGGGTGGGAATCTCCTTATGACATCTCAAGCCTGAGCAAGGGATCACTTACTCACACATACTTAGGTACGCACTCCCATGGTTTTCCCAGTGATGTGTCGCTCAATATGCCTCTTATAATGCATTTATCATTTATGTGAATAAAATATCAAATACAAGTCCATGAAGAAAAGTGTTCGCTTGTGTGTTCATAGCTGACTACGTTAGTGAAGTTCCTTGCTCTGCTTCAAACAAAGACAGACATTTTTTCAGGCGTTTGTCAAAATGATAAAATCAAAGAAAACCGTCATTTTTCTGCTTGTTTGGCAATTTTTATAATAATATGTATTTTTTGAGGGCTCAACACCTTTCATGCTCATTTAAAATCAGTTCTATGTGGATTTTACTTTAAAATGTTGATCAAAAGAACAAAAAATACAAAATTTTAGTTTTCAAGGACGTTCAAGCTTTGGACATCAGTAAACTGGCAGTATTTTCTTGCTAATATTACCTTTGGCACCAGACAACCCTCACCTTCGTCAATCACAATTTTTTTTACTTCTCTTTGAGATATTTGCATATTTTTTCATCAAATGTAAAATAAATCAACAAGCTCTAAGAGGGCATCAATGACTCCATATGCTCAACAATTGACGAGCGCCTGCTTCCTCCTTGCCATGACACATTTTATGCATGAAGCCTTCAGACAGAGTCAAGAGACTAGGACGAGAGGGAGTCTTTTTTGGAGGACAATAAGAAATCGTTATTAGGCTACACTGGATCTTGAAATTCCATTCCATTGCGTGTGAATCAAATTTCTTGTTGCACTTCAACAAAATGACAGATTTTGAGCTATCTGTGAGAAAAGGTCATGATTCTCTGACTTAACATTCTGTAAGCCCCATGTAACATAATGTCCGTTATACAGCACTAGTAAGCATAATCTTGTCAAACGTTGCCCCAGCCATCTGAATTACAGTGGAAACCATATATAACAGGCCCGGTAAGAACAGGGATTTTGTAAATCCCTGTTTTTTTCCAATTTCTTGTCTCTATTAAAAGTTATCTGCAATAACAGGGCATCATCAGAGCCCTATCGGTTATAGACTCTACAACAATGTGTAAAAAGTAAAAGAGAGAGAGAGAGAGACAGAGACAGAGACAGAGAGACAGAGAGAGAGACACACACACACAGAGACAGAGAGAGAGAGAGAGAGAGAGAGAGAGAGAGAGAGAGAGAAAGAAAAAAACGCACTGATGAAGCAAGCCCACGCACGCCATGCCACTGCAAGCACACGAAGAGAGTTAAGCGAGAGAAGGCTGCGGTGTGCTGCAGACTTCGATCTAGCCCTAAGCCTAGCTTAATAATGACATGCGTAAGGTGTCATGCGAAGACCTGCCACATGGCCAAAACCCCTGTTTGTGGGTACTTGTGGCAAGGAAAACTTCCCATGAATAAATACAGCTGGATTTGTCCACAAATGTTTACTTCCCTTGCATTTCTGATTTAACAGGGATCTGATATAACAGGACTTTTTCTCTGGTCCCATCATCAATTATATCAGGTTTCCACTATATGTAGATAGCCACTTTCTTCTCTAGGACAGTGCATGTGAATGTGGCCAGGTCAATGCACTTCTATGAATTTGATTAAGACTCTGTTTTTGTCAGTTTTACCACTGTAAAACCACATTTTGTCATCTCATAGTCATACTTGAACATGTTCCTTTGTATGACATATCGTCATTGCAGTTCACTATCTGCATATGGAACAAAATTTTGAAAACTCTAGTCTTAAGGTATTTGACCTCAATCTAAAAAATCAGCTCTCACAGATTACTTTGCAACAATAATTCATGACATCATAAAGATAAATTGTAAAAGTCACAAGACTAAAAGGCGTATTAGACTAATAAAAAAGTTTTTAAACATTTTCTCAAAAGTATCTTAATGCTCCATACGCAAATAGATAAAGATGTATAGGGGGGCTCTCGTGGTCTAGAGGTTAAGGTGTTGGCCTCTCATTCAAAAGGTCTCGGGTTCGAATCCGGGTAGCGACCGAAAAATGTTCTTCTCTAAATTTGCCTCCTTTCTCCTCATTTCCTGCTCTCTTGCAATGTTCTGTCGTCTGCTTTCGTCTCCTCTTTCTGCCCCCCACCCCCTCACCTCCTTTGCCCCTTCCTCTGGGCTCCCGATTCTTTCTGCAGCCTTTCTACTGCTACTCCTTCGCTTCTTTTTACTGCTGTCTTTCAGCCACACCCCTGATCTTCTGGTAAGAAAGATCTACACCTAGCCTTCTCGGACATGGCGAAAAATCTCGGAGGGCGCGTGTGCAAGTTGTGCACGTTAAAGATCCCTTGGTGGTCTAAAATCGATAAGAGTAGGGTTCGGCCGTCACCCGGGCTAAATTCAAAATTTCCTACCAACTGAAAATATTTGGTGTGTCCTGCGCGCTCATATGACCTTATGCAGTTGCGAGCGCCGTAAAACACTTTATACAGATGTATGCACTGACAATATGACTAATCAGCTTCTATGCTGCTAGAGTCTCAAAACTTCTCTATTTGCAATTATGTCCAGCGTCTGTTTGCCCCTATGATCTAGTAACAAGTCGGAAAACTCCCAGAAAATGCTCTCTACACTTCCAGGTAACAACAACAGCTGCACAGAACAATAACTTTTTGTGTAGTTTAATATCCCCCCCT